CCGTGGATGTGCTCGCCCCAGACCTTCTGTCGCGGTGTCTGCTGTGCCTTCGTCAGGGGCAGCGCTTCTGCCAGCTCTGAGCTCAACCTGCTGACTCCTTGTTCCTCTTTCTCTCCCGGGAGAACTTACTCCCGAACAAAGCTGAATTCGTAGCTTTAGCTTCAGTCTGTGAGGCGGTGTCTCAGCAATAATAATTTACTTGTTTTTATAGAAGACAACAGGCACGTGCAGGATTCTCTCCAGTCTTGTTCGCCTAGAATCATGGAATGGTTTGGGTTGGAAGGGACCTTTAAAGATCATCTAGTCCAACACCCCTGCAGTGAGCAGGGACATCATGGTTCTGCTCAACTCTTATTACCTTCTCATATTTATGTTTTCATCCCCATTTTCCATTTCATAGTCATAAGTTGTATTGTTAATACTGTGCAACGTGTAACTAGAATTAGTAGGGAAACATCTAAAATCCGAAACCGAGTTGTGTATTTTTCTGTAGTATATTTCTGTCTTCTGTCCAGAGCTTTTGAAAAACAATTATAAATTTCCTTCAGAGTGGTCCTTCAGAACCGTGCAAGGTCCACAGCGGCTCAGGGAACACATGCTTGTGTAACAATATACATGATGGGTTTGTTAGTGTATATTTAGGAAAAGAGAGACGTGAAAATGGAATTTAAATGGGAAAAGAATACTGAGAACGAGAAGTCCTGTTCTTGAAAAAGAAAGCAATTAAGTGGAGTGTTTGGATGAACTGGCTGTTGTCCCAGTGCCATTCCCATTGGGACCACCACCTTGGCTCACAGTGCTAGATGCTTGTTTGTCGATGCATAACACAGTGTACGTACCCACTTTATTGTGTCTGGTGCTATCACGTGTTACCTACCACAGAATTCAGTTTTTCTATTTGCCAAGTGCTCCTTCCCATTCCACAAGTGAAGCACTTGTGTGAGAGGAGGCCTGTAAATAGTGATTTATGTAAGAACTTTTGTTTCCCAGTCCACAGCTCATCTACCCTCCCTACTCCAAAGCTTGTTAATTAGGGCAGCTGCTTTGGCAGTGGATTAGTTGCTCTTGGTAGGTCTGCCGAGTTAAACCTTGGGCAGCATCCTCCTCCACCTCATTACCCTGTCACTGTGCCCTAGCCATGAAAACAAACAAATCTCCAGAGTTACTTAGCGATCAGTGGAACAAAGGAGCTATTTAGTCTTCTGGCATATTGGTCTTTTTAAGAAAAGAAGAAAAAGGGAGCTCAGTGTAATGGCCTACAAAAGCAAGAGCTTTATTTACAGAAATAAATAATCTCTGTTAATTGTATGGGGTTGACTGCAGATAATCTGATGATGAATCATTGTCATCTTGAAAGTGAACATCACTATTGTTGCTGGCATATAGCATAAGAAAAGAGAGAATAGTGTAGAAAATTAGCTGATTTAAAATGGTTACCATATGCTTACCATCAGGGCAATTGAAAATTCTCCCCGTCTGTTCTTTCCTCTAAGCTGTATTGCAGACAGCACCACTCGGATTCACTGGAGTGCAGGGTGAAAAAAGCATTTAACGTTTCAAAGTTATTCTTGTGGTTTGGTGGTGATGTGTGATAACTCTACGTACACCTTAGGGATCCAGACTATTTGAACATAAGCAGCGGAGGTGGTTAATCAGCACTATCTAGGAGGACACTGCATTTTTACTCTTTCTGTGTTTTGTTCACACATATGCTTGGAGTGGTGGCATCTTGCTGCCTTTTTTTCCCACATTGTCTTAGTGTAAATCTATCTGTTTTTCAGAACTCAGTCTAGTATCCTGTGATCACAAAAAATGATTTGTGAAGAACAGGCAACTGATTCAAAAAGGATGAAAAGGTTAAAAGAAAACAAATTTTTAAGTTAAGTTTGGATTCCATTTCACAGTGAGTTTTAAGGGGTTTTTTAATCACCTACCTCTGGAGTTATTTCTGGATCGTTCTGTGTTGAAATCCATCATGGAAACAATTATGTAGCATTTACTGCAGTCTCTGGTTCTGAACAATTGGCTGAACTATAGTGGTAATATCTCAAGGAAGGCAGCTTTCAGCTGAGCAGTAGTTCAGGAGGAAGCAAACTACATCAGCAGAGCAGTCAACAATCTTTTCTTCTCTGGGCACAGTTGTAAGAAGGTGTGTTTTGCCACCTGCTCCCAGACAAACTAGTTCTTTTCCAGAGCGGTGTTGCTGGGAGAGATTGAATCTTCAGCTTTTGACTAATAGTGCCTCATGCAGTTCAGTATGAGAAAGTTCTGCTCATTTCACTTTCAGGCTGGTGTAATGGGGTTCTGTCAACAGGGTAAAACAAAACAACTGTTGAGGGAAAAAGTCCCCTGGTAATGGGATCCTTTGCCTGTATCTACCTGAGCAAGGGGTGCAGTGTGATAAAAGGAGATCTGTAGAGTGCTGAGGACCCAGCTTTCATGCTGTGTTTGTCTGCTTTGGGTTTTTACTTTACAGCAGCAGCTTGGTCCTCCTTTGATCTAAAATCCCTTTTTTATTAAAGGGCATCTTCTGCTTTAGTTTCATCTAAAAGGAATCCAGTTCAGTGTATCCCAGGCACTTTTTGAAAAGCTGATTTTGTGCTCCTAGTCTACACTTTATGAAAGACACAGCTGGTTCCCAGACTAGCCAATTTTACCTTAGGATATAAAGTGCTATGTAGTTAAACATTTCAGCTCTTAGGACATCTAGGTAGGAAATGTATCTAGTTTATTGATGAAACATGGAGGTCAAAAAAGAGGAGAAATTAGGAAATGGAGTTATGGAGTCTTGAATTCTACTGATCTTTGGGTCAATCGGTTGCTGTCACCCTTTAAAATTTCTTTAGATAATAAGTTCATGCACCTTACAGCTTAACCTGGTTCGTGGACCACAGACTCTAGAAGGACTACATAGAACTGTGCTCTTTATGTGCACAAAATAGTCATTTGTCTGCAAACATCTGCAAGTATTTAAATGATAGCTGTGTTGTAATTTACATACTAGGCTGCTTTTGTGAATATATAGAGTGTTACAGGATTGGAAGTGCTGCTGTTGCCATTTGTTGCTCATTCTACTTCAAGCTGTTCAATGTGAGACTTCATGAAATTAAGATAATTTGCACTGCTGTTGCTGTACACAAAGATTACTGAGAATATTGGTGGGTTTGCATCACAAAAAGATGGAAAGATTAATAAATAATAATATCTAGAATCTTGAATTTCATCAAATGTTTTAAATAGCATACAAATAGAATACAAACTGTGTGTTAGGAAATTAAAAGCTTTAGAAGCATTTTTTTCATTTTGTCATTGTACAAGTAGCAAATATGCGTGCCTGTGTGAAATGAGCTTTCTGTGAACTGGGAATTAGTAATAGCTAAAGTTTAGGTTTTGATATTTCTTTGCTTTAGGTATCTGATGATTGTAAAGCTTCAAAATGCTTGCCAAAAAATGCCGAGTTCTCATGGCACATAGAAACTTCTAACTCTTGTCTGAAATACTTTGTCTCTCGTGGCTGGAGTGATAATACTTGGATGTTCTTCCATGAAGGGTTTGTTTCCAGTCTGTGGTACAGGCACAGCTCTAACTGTGCTACTGGATGACCAGTCTGTGAGGTTGAGTTGTACCTTGTTTAATTGACTGCAGGTCCTGATCTCTGTGCCGTGGTCGCTAAGATGTGTCTGACTGGTAGTTTACAAAAGTGAACAGAACAGAACATAACTGTGGGTTGTCTCTTGCCACTGCACTTCACCTTGGTTTCAGAACATACACCCCACTGCTTCTTCATCCTGTTATGTAAATTCTCTCTTCTTACACTTGGCCTTCAGGAGGCATTTGTGGCTCTTGCCCATCTTCTGTGCTGACGTAATGCCATTGAGTAGATGTACATTCACATGAAAAATAATTGCTTAAAGGTTAATTACTGAAAAAAGGAAGTAATGTGCTTGGGATATAGCAGTGTCCCAGACTTCATCCTTTTCTAAAATAATCTGTGCTTTATTTGTGTAATAGATTAATCACTGCTCCCTTGCCTTTGTGATAATGAAGGTAATCCTTTCTAGCTGCTTTTCTGAGAGACTGTTCTACTTCTGTTCAAGGACTTGCGTGATTCAGAATCATCACTAATGTAACACTTCGAAAATACAAGTGAGGGATATTAATGCATTCTGCTCCTGTAGAGCTGCCAGGAGCATGTCACATACTGTTTGATGCCTGTCTTGAGTTGTACTGGTCTGGAATCAAATCCTTCACAGGGACTTCAGTTTCACAAAGCAGCATCTGCATTTATGAGAACATAGACAACACGAATTCTTAGGAACAAATTTATAGGACCTGGAACAAAGGGGTTTGGGGTTGAGGATTCTGGGCTACAGAGATATTCTCTCTCTACTGAGAGTATCAAAAGGAGTTTGGTTGTTCTGAGCAATTTGGGGGGGGGCGGGGGAAAGGTCAGATAGTT